GGGGCTTCGTCCCACTCCCGACCTCCCGAGGACTCGGGCAGAGCCTGCAGAGGAGCTGCTGCCCGTCCACTCCCGGGGGCTCCGGGCGCAGCGCGGCCGGGAGAGGGCAGAAGGGGAGACGGGCTGGAGAGAGGCCCAGTGGGGCGTGCGTCTCCTGCTGCAAATCCAGACCCTGGGCGCTGTGAGCAGGAAACTCCGCACGAAAGCAACGGGTTGAGCCATGGGCTCCGGAGCCTCCCGAGGGAGATCACTGCAGTTAAAGAGCAAAGTGCGAACCTTTCTGGAGGGCTGAGACCGGCCCTGAAGGAAGTTCCCCCCACCTTTCTGGTAAAAATACGAAACTTATTCACTCTTCACACTTCATCATAGACTGCGGTGCAGTATGAGTTCCTCGGTTTAAGGCCAACAAAGACACCGTCAAGGTCGGGCAGTTTCTGATAAAAGCCGGGAGTTAAGAGCTAGCCGCCGCCGAGCGTTCTGTCCATCCGGGCCCAGGAGTTGCCTTCCTTCCGGGTGGCTGCTTCCTTTTTCAGACTTTGTCCGGCGTCGGCCGACCTTTGCAGGTTATTCGGGTTCTCCTTGAAATCTACGTCCACTGAGAACAGTGACCGAAACTGGATTGCCCTGAAGTCTGAGACCAAATACTGAAGGCTGAAAAATATGACCAAGAGCAGCGTTGTCCTGCCTCGGACTGTCAAGACCCTCGGATAATTTTAACGCGAAGGTCCGTGGTTATCATCAGGTTCTTTCGTGGGTTGGTCTCTCAGCCCGCGCCTCCACCTTCTTAGTGCGGAGATCGGAGATCCGAGGCGAATGCGGTCAAGTTCCCAGCAATGCGGCAGGGGCTGAGTTTTCCATAATTCAGATTTTCCCTTTTCCCCCCAGGGAGAAGGAAACCGAGGCGCCCAAGAGGGGTGTCAAGCCCAGGTGTCTGGCCAGCTGCTTGTGTGAAGACAGAGACCTCCCCTGCCCTCGAGTGGTTAGAATGAAACTAAGGGGAGGGAGAGATGACTGGACTCGAAGACCTAACCCAACTGTGGAGAGCCGCTTGCCGAAGGGAAGACTGGCTGAGAAACCTTCCCTGATGCCTCTGGCTGGCCTCTGAGAAAGGTATCAGAGACCAAGGAGAAGGTGTATATGAGTAGCTCGTTTGATTCCATGTGTGTTTTACCGCTCCCATAAAATTACCTGACCTGTGTTTCATGAGTCTGGGGGAAAGTTCCAGAAATTTACCTTGGACGCCCAGGTGAGCTAATGGGGATCTGCAATTGGTGAGATCCCACCAGGCCAGGGGTCCTCAGGGTCACTGCACCCCCCTTTTCAACTCCTTTTCCCTGTGGGCGGGTGGCAGGGACAGGAGAAGCACAGGATCCAAAGATGCGGGTAGCTTGGTCCTGAGAGGGCTGCAGCCTCTCCATTCCCCGCTAAGCTCAGCTTGCCCTGGTTTCCCCTCCATCCCCAACAGGGTGCCCCTCACTTTCTGAAGAACCCCTGTCTCATAAATGATGTCCCATCTCCTAAGGTGGGTAGCACAGGGACACCTGGCTCCCTAGTGCCAAATCCTGGCAATTCCTCAAGACTTCCAAGTCTTCCAGAGAGGGCCCATTGCCACCCTGGTGGGTGTCACAGCTGCCTCCTGTTCACAGCCCTCCTTCACCCGTATCCCAGGCCCGGACCTCCAGGAGAACTGGCAAGAGCCATGGGACTCGAACCTCCATCTCCCCTCACTCCTTCCCAGTTCTGGGCCTGACCACATCTTCATTTGTTTGTTATGGAGCATTCCCCACCATGTCCCACCTTCTAGGAGCCCGGGGGGGGGGGGCTGGCCCTTCCCAGGATGGTGTCAGGCAGAGGCTGCTGGTGAGGAACAAGGCCTCCAAGCTTTCAGTTTCCTGTCCTCCTGGAAGATTCTTACAACACCAACCTGTGGCCATGCCCTCCCCGCTGGAACCCGAAATGCAGACCCTGGGACAAGCTGCATTGCCCGGTGCTCCACACACTCCTCAGTGGGTGAGGCTCATGGTGATTTTCCAGCTAGAAAATGGGTCCATCTTAATCTCTCCTGGCCCAGTGTCCCCTTGCCCACCTGGTCTCAGAAATGAGGGTGCAGAAAGGTCGGTGCCCTGACACTGGCTGTGTCCCTGTCCTGTGTTTCCAGCTGTGTTTCTGCTCTGTTCACATGTCTTCCAAGGAGCCTGGGGCATCAGTCACTGGGCTGCCCCTTGGCCTCTGCCCTTGGCATCCCTGTGTGGGCTGAAGTGTGCCTCCCACTGAGGAGTGAGTAGTGGCAGCCGGGGGAGAAGTACCTCCAGCCTAAGACCCACTGTGGCCTGGGGTCTGGGGACAGGAATCATGCACCTACTCAGCAGGCCGGGACAGAGGGTGGAGAGTTTGAGCCCAACCTGGGCCTCTTAGTGAGACCTCATCTCAGAATCTGGGAGTTTATGAAGGGCTGTGGATAAGGCTCAGTGTGAAGGTATCAATACCAAAAGTGACGGTGGAGGGGACCGTGACGAGGGAACGACACTGAGAGGGGTCCTGTGGATGGAACGTGGCCCCCCACATGCTAAGCATAAGCTTTCTACAGGGCTGCACCACTGCCCCTTGAACTCCCTATCCCAGTTTTGAGGCTTTCTGCCACCTGTCCGCTCCCACACCCTCGGTCACTTTCTGAACTGCCTTCCTCCAACCTCAGTGCCGTCACACGCCATGGTCTCCTTGGGCCTCCTGTCCCACTTCCGCTTGCCTGCCTGTCCACTGGTCTGTGAGCTCCTTGATTTGGTTTGAAGAGGTAAAACTTACTTTTTTCCTAAGTTAGATGGAAGGAATAATACTCGTGCTAGGAAAGGTGGACTTGAACACAGGGTCCTAGCAGGAGTGATTTCTACTCGTCCTTGTGTGTCCTTCAAGCTCATGTGTCCTTTTTATCCAACACAGGACTCCGCATGGCTCCACCCCATCCAAAGCTGCAGTGCAGCAAGAGTGGAAGTCTGTGCAAGTTCAGCGGACGCCATGCCCGGTCTGTGGTACGAACCTCCTTCCACCCCGTGTCTCCATCCTTGATTAAGGCAGCTGATCTGATCTGATTCACAAATGGATCAGCTCGTCCACTCCAAAGCAGGCCTCAGAGATGGGTGGGGAAGGCATTTGGGTCATTTCCAAGCAGAAACATTCAGAACGGCCAACTTGCCCCACGTGAGACGCTGGCTCTGTGGACTGGGCAGGAAGTGAGGGGGTGTCCACCCCGGGGAGTGGGGGTCCTGGCACCATGAAAGGCTTCCTGTGAGACCCTCTCCACACCGAGTCCTCCCGGCCTTAAAATATAAAGCTGGGTTGTGTCCCATTCGGGACCAAAGAAAAGGGTGAACCATGCCCTGAAATGCCTCTGCCATTCTTGTTGTTAAACATTAATCTTTAAAGGGAGGAACACCCAAATGCTGATATAATGACCCAAATAAAGGTTTCCTATCTCACCAGGATTTATTTGATGACTAGCAAAGCGTCCCAGCTTTGTCCTTCAGTCCTATGCCAAAAGGTGTTGGAACTTTTGGTAAACTTTACACGTCATCATGGCCTCCGTAGTGAGCGAGGGAAGAAAAAAAATCAACAGAAGGAGGAAATTTTTCTTCCATTTGTTTCTTTTCAGGGCTATATGTGTTTTCTCATTCCATGTCTGTCGGTGGGGCCTTCTGTGAATAATGGAATATCCAACAGCCACAAAAAATAATGAGAATGCTTTGGCTATACTGAGGTAAGATCATCTCAAAGATACATTGTTGAGTTAAAGAAGCAAGTGTGTTCCCATCTGCATTGAAAGAAAAGGACAATACATATAGTGTGTTTGTCTTCAAGTCTTAGTGGATACACAAGATACTGATGACCTTAATTGTATCAAGAAAAAAAGTTGGTTATTAGTGGATAGAGTTGTTCATTGTATACTCTTTCGTATCTTTTGATTTTGAAATATTTAAACATTTTGCAGAAAATTAAAAATTCTCAATGACTTTTTTTTTTTTTTTTTTTTTT